CTTTATTACTCAAAATTTTCACTTATCTTCTTGCAATTTCTTATTATTTTCTTTTTATTAAAAAAAAATATTCTTTATTTGTATATTTTTTTCTGTTTTCACTTGTTTTAACAGCATTTTCTTGCTAAAAACTTATATTCTACACGTTGCACAAATTTCTTCGAAAAGTTTGCACATCTCTATAGGTAAATATTTCTTTATTCTTTTGAATTATTTTTTTTTTTTGCACAAACACACGTTATCTGCTGTTGATATGGTTTTTCTTTTCCTACACACAACACAATTAAAAATATATAAACAAAAAATTGGAAAAAAATAAATAAATTAATTTTTGCACGCAAATTAAGATAAAAATCTGGTTTACTGTTTGCAGCCAACAAATATTGTAATTCAAGTGAACAATCAACGCTTGCGAAAGTGACATGCTTAAGAAAGACAGAAAAGAAAAAAAAATGCAGAAAATATGACACGAAAAAATTAAACTAAAAATTGAAATAAAATAAGAAAAAAAATAATTAAAAGTAAACACTGCATTCATGTAGCTTTTAAATTAAAACACAACAGTAAATATTTAAATATTCCACTCAACAGCTGCTGCTGGAAGAAAGCGAAAGTGAAGTCATCGCAAGGGGGTTAAGTAGAGTTGAGCTTAAGATAACAGCGAAGAGGCTGCAACTGAAAAGTTTGCAGTTAAATATTTTACAAGAGCCAACTTGCCACCATTTGCTATAGATAAAGTGGCGATTGCTATCAGCGAAATTAATTATCTGCTTAAATAGATTTTCGTTTTTAATTTTTCCTTTTTTGTTTTGTTGACAAGCAGCTGAGGTTAAGCAAATTTTTCACAGGTCATCAGCACTTTTTTCTCTCTGTCCTTTTTTTTCTGTTTAATTTCACTTTACTTTAAATGCCATAATTTGCAATGCACTTTGGGCACTTATCTGACTTAGTCGGACAGTTGGCCATGAACTGTGGAAGGTACGTGGAATTTTTAGCAAATAAAAAATATATAATAAAAATTTCAGAAACTGTTGCTAAGGAGCTTGCGCTAATTTTTGTTTGATTTTCGATTAGAGTCAAATAGTAAATGGATAAGTTTTTCGCTGGAAAATAGACAAAAAAAATTGAAAAAAGAAGGAGTTGACAAAAAATAAAAAAAATTTGGAATTTTGGTTGGTAAAATATCAAAAAATTAAAAAAAAATTAATAAGTAATTAAAAAAATATTTTTTTTTTTTGGTTGCAGGCAGGAAGAGTTCTTATAAAAATATTTGAAGTAAACTACGGATTTTGAATTGAAAGGGCTATTAAAGTTCAGTTCGTAAATGAACGAAAAAAAAATAAAAGCAATCAAAACCTATTTGAAAATATACATAAATTTTATATAAAAAATGCATAAAACGCAATAAAAAATTAAAATTTATAAAAAAAAATTAAGAGTAAAATTTTGAGTTTTGGTAGGAAAAATAACGATTTTACGATTTCTGATTTTGTAAAAAAATAAAAAAAAATTACAAAAAAACTTGAGAGAAACATTATTCCTATACTAAACTGCTGCATGAGATAGGTTTTCGAAAATTACATTAACCAACGTAAACTTAAAAAAGTACAAAAAAATATAACTAAGAAAATTAAATAAAAATTTTTTAGTTGAAAAAGCGAACCAGAAATGTAGTTTAAATATTAAGAAAAATATATATATATATATTATATATATATAAGAACGAAATATAAAGTCTGTTATGTGTTTATGAGCATCACAAAATAAAAAAATAATAATATAAAAAATTTGAAAATATATTATTTGAATAGAAGCCAAAAATTTAGTGACTATCGACTCTGAGATCCAACAAAAATTAAGAAAAAACGTTGAAAAAAAATTGAGAATCAACAAGAGTTATTTACGCTCTGAACGTGAAAATATATTTATTTTTTGGTGAAAAAATATTTTTGGCAAAATCTAAAAAAGTTCACAAAAAAAAAATTAAATAAGATTTCTAAATAAAGTTCTTTGATAATGAACTAAATAAATTCTCGAAGCTTTTTTTTTTTTAATACGACAAGGACACGGGGCGCTAAGAGAAAGAGCACTATATACAAGACTATAATTGTATTCATCCAGGTAGTGCATGGACTTGAAAAAAAACCAGCACGGCTCATCCAGATGGCCTTGGAGATGGTATCAGAAACGAGAAAATATTAAAAAAAAAAACCGCCGCAAAACCTAAACACATAGGCAAGGCAATTTCATTCAGCAGTCTCTGGAGCACTCAAGTTTCTTCAGAGCAAATGAAATGTTATTGAAAGAAGCTTCCGAAATCAATGAAACTACAGCAGAAATAATTTCTAGGTACACACAAACTCAGAATGCTTCCAAAATTATCCAAAAATTTTCAAAACTTCGGCAGATAATCCAAAACAGCCTAAATATCACACAAGTTCTTTGAAAAACAAGTTAAATATATAAGATTGAAATAATAAAAGATCTTAAATAGACGGTTTTGAATGTTTATTATTGAATGAAAGAAATTTGTAGACGGTTGAAAAATCAGAATGACTTGACACTAAACGTGAAAAATCAGAATGACTTGACACTAAACGTAAAAAATAATAAAAGAACGCTTTTTTGAGAACAACAAATAAAAGGTCAGTTTATGCCAAAAGGCTAATTAAACCTCTGAAAAGAGTATTGGAGGCTTAATAAAAATAACAGAAATCAAATCAGACGTGACGGCCTCAATCGTCGCTCAGTTGGCATTGCGCAATGCCATTCGGAATGCCAGGGTTTGAGGTCCACCTCCATCCCTAGTAAAAAAAAAAAACAAGACACATACCACAAAGGGATAAGCTCGACCTTAAAACCTCTACGGGGGTTGGAGAATCTACAGTACTTCCACCAAACTCGTTTTGGATGTCTAAAATATAAAATTTGCTTGCGAATAGTAAAAGGACTGATATTGACTACTTACATACATCTAAAAACTGCATGGTGGCTCTAAAAAGTTCTACAAGTTTTTGAGTGTTTGAAACAAATTTCAAAGTATGAGCTATTTTTGACAAGAGTGTATAAGAGTAAAGTTCTTCAATGAAAAAAAAACACTACTCAGACGTCTGTAAGCCGCGGGAACTTTCTAAGAAACCCTCACAACCGCAAGCAACACCTAAAAAGTCCCAAAAACAGTTAGATAATACCTCAAATAGAAAACAAATTTTATAGAAAAGTGAGAAAGTGTAAAAAATTTCAAAAAAACAGTCCTCAGTTTGGCTGTTCACACTCAGTTTGGTTGTTCACGTTCAGTTTAAGGTAAACTATAAGCTTCTGACGCCCATTTCTGGGCAAAAGAAACGACTTACCTAATTCTATAAGAAGGGAGAACCCATAAAAAAGGTTCCGGGATGCATCTCAAAAGCGGCAGGCAAACTTTCGGGACGGAATCTTTCTTTAAGCTCAAATTGTGATCTAACATTAATACCCCTTCTTATATTATAAATATGGACTCCACTTGGAAAGAGTTCGCTTTCAGCTTGCGAGATATACTTATGGACCTGTGAAAGCTCGGTGATTAAGAAATTTATATGCATTTAGCTCTTCCAGCCTCTTACAGGCATTGTGTTAGACAAAACTCTCAACGAGCTTTAGGAAAATTCGGCACTTAGAGCAAAATTTTCTAGCAAAGAGCAACCAGAAGTTTTAGAAGAAGAAAAATAAATTCTAAGGAATATTAATATTTATATAAAGATTGCAATTGTATGGGACACTGTTTCTAGGAGATTTGTTTCTCCTAACCTCAAAATCGAAACTACAATAGAAGCCTATAAATGTTTAGGTCGCTCACATAGTGCTGGGCTCAGTATATAAGGTTACCATTTGATAAAAGTCTGATTTAAACTTGCTAGATATATTACCGTAGTTTTGAAGATTGCGCGCTGAGCGCTTCCAGCCTTTCTTGGACGTTATATGCTTTAAAAATCCTACACAAAATTACGGGAAATCCATGAATAGTAGGGAAGCGTTTCCTTCTTATCCTTTAAGACAACGATTTCATTGAAAAAATAGCGCCGAACATAGTTGAGGATTTAAAAGGAATCAAAAAAATGTAGTATAAAAGGCTACAGCTGTGGCTTCGTTCGGCATAACCTCAAAAATAGAATATGCATTAAAGGACTACAGCTGTGTGGTGACGCCATTACAAGGAGTTTAATTCCTCTTAAACTCTAAATTAAATCCACTGTGAAGTTGATAAAGACTTCAACTGTTTAGAACGCTCTTTTCAATAGCTTTGTTCTACATAACCTAGAAATTCTAGCAAATTTTGTACAAAACCACAGTTGTATTTACCGGTCGGTGCAGTTTTGTAAATACTTTTAGACAATTATTTCATTCGGAACTCAAAGAATATAATCTCAGTATTTGTTGTTTGTTCCAGTAAAGCACTTATGTATGTGCATATCGCACTCAAATCCACTTTGATTAATCATTTTCACTGTGCATTGAAAGTGCCTATGAAAAATGCATTATTTATCAACATCAACAATCCCTCCACCATATTGCCTGCCATAAAACGGCTGTCTTATGCACTGACGAACAGAGGACGGGGTTGTTTGTGCGGCTGGTAGGTCGATAGGTAGGTACATAGGTAGGCAGGCTTCCAGGGGGTATGAAACACATGAGAACACGCAAAATAATTCCTCTTTTGTTTGTAATTACATATATAATTACGATTTAATTCACGCCATCTCGTTGTTAGTATTTCCGTGAGACGCCATTTACCGACGGCAAATGGAGTAAACTTGCGAAGAGAACACTGAAGAGTTGGGCAAACAAAAGATTTGTAGCGCACTTTAGAGCAGTGAGCTTTCACACCAACAGGGTTGCACTTTGTTTACTAGTTTTGCACAATTTTCTCAATTTTCTTCACACATAACCTCAAACTAATTAATGTTCATATTCAGTTGTTTTTCCTTTCAAATAATATTAAAAAAAATCTTTCTTCCACTTACCGTCCACTTTTGGTGATCACCATCTCCGTGCCGAGCTTGTGAAATTTCTCCCACAAATCTTTGCCCTCCAACGTCACCTTCGGATCGTCGACAACGCCGTCGTCTTCTGGTTGTAGCGCACGCAACGGTCTCATTGCTGGATGTAGCTGATGCGCCACCGCTGATGCGAGCACCACGTCCTCGGCGGTCGTGTAGGGTGTACCCAAGGGGAGATGAGCGTGCGGATGATGTGGCGGGAAACGCAAACCAGCTGGGTATAAGCCCGGATGTGGACCAGCCGGACTGCCTGCTAGCGCTGCAAGAGCGGCGGCTGGAAAGTATGCCTGTTGGGGCAGATGTGGTCCCAACGCGTGATGACCCGGCACAGGGGAGTGATGTGGATGTTGGGGCGCTGGTGGTGGCGGTTGTGCGGCGTGTGCGTGCGGATGCGTATGCGTTGGTGGCGGTGGTGGCGGCGGTTGACGATGCGGCGATAGGTGTGGTGAGGACAAATGTGGCGTTGGATGAGCTAGTGGCTGTTGTTGTTGTGTTGACAAATTGTTGTTACTACTTTGAGGATCGTTGTTGTTGTTGCTGCTGCTACTGTTATTTGTGGTGGGTGTATTGCGGTTGTTATTGTTGCTACTGCTGTTGTGACTGCTATTGCTCACAGCCGACTTGCTACCGATACTATTACTACTACTTGTATTATTATTATTATTGCTGCCAGGCGATAACAGTGGCGGTTGTTGACCACCCACAGGTGAGGCTTGTCCGACACCACAAAGCAACTGTTGTTGTTGTTGCTGTTGATGATGATGATGATGCTGCTGCTGTTGTTGCTGTTGCTGCAAATGTAATTGCTGTTGATGCTGTTGCTGCTGTTGCAATAAAACTGCTGCTGCGGTAGTGGGTGTTGTTGGTGGCTGATGGTGATGTGGTTGCGCGGGTGAGGTGGCCGCACTCAAGACGGTATTACCGCTGCCCGTTGCACTTAAATCTCCAGCTGTCGCGGAATTTGCTGCTGCTGTTGCCGCTGCGGCAGCTGCTGCGGCGGCGGCGGCGGCCGCGCTATTAGCCTGTGCTTGTGCGGTGCCCGCCGTCAACAGCGACGATACGCTGAAATCAGTGGGTCGGGAGAGTTGCAGAAATGGATGATATGCCATCCCATTTGCAAATCTGGCGAATGGATCCTCAGCAGACTGATGAAGCAACTCTTGAACGTCGTATCTCATTACATTACACTTTCCAACAACGGCGGGATGCAAAGAGCGCGACGTTAAATTATGAAATTACACTGTTTACAAATCAAAAGCAAGCCGCGGCTATTGTGTGCTGGTGTGAGTATTGTATATGCTTCTATGAGGTATCTACTTCCGAGAGTTGATGGTGCGAGTAGGCAAGATTTGGGTTTTCGATCGTATCACTGGTACTTTTTAACACTTTTTTGTTATATTTATGCCGAGTTAGCACTCTCTTAATATTTTTGTAAACGTCTAGGTGTATTTTGCACTTCCTGCACACGTTTACCTTCCAAGCTCCATTGCCCTTACTGGTAGCCACAGGTCTTTGGAGTGCACTCTCTGTGAGTTTTCTCGGTCGGAGTGCTGACACATGCAATTTCTGCCTGCTTATAGCTTTGAGAGCACCTCTTTAACACTCTGTTGCTACTTTCTCACTTTTTTCTTTAATCCGGCTGCTGTAAATTTTACAATTTTCGACCGTGCAATTATCCTTAAGTGCCTTAACCTCACTAAAATCAAATTTCTGAGCTGTAATCTCACTTTGTTTTGATTTGCTTTTGTCTAGACCTCAGTGTTTTCGATTTTTTGCGTTTCAAATCGCCTTGGTTTTGTATTCCAGCTCTATTGACGCGCCTGCAGTTCAGTATTTTCCGGCAGAGACTGCTGTTTAATGGCGCTTAGTTGGTTTTTAGTGTATGGTTTTCAACGGCAGCGAGATTTTGAGCTTAAATCGCTGTGTTTTTCAGCCATGCGTTGGGTATTAGACACAAAAGTTTACCTCTCCTTAGCTTTTACGGAGCTGAGGCGCTTTTAAAACTGTTGTTTTTTGAATGTTGAAAATGATTATTTCAATATTTGAATTATAACACACATTTTTCACTGCATTCTCATTTAGTTTTGTAGTTATAGCAATTGATTTTGTTTCTTTTGTTGATTTTGTTGTAATTTCATATTCTTTTGACGTTTTTGAAACACTTTTCGGTGCTATTTAATACACTTGCATTTTGTTTATAAGCTTTTTTAACGCTTTTGCAATACAAAAATCTTTTTTCAATAATTTTTAGTTTTTTTATACATTTTTTGGATTTTTTTCCGAATTAATTTTGTATCATTTATATTATTTTGATTTTTTTTTTTAGGGAATTTTCGTATTTTTGAAATTATTTCTACACGCTTGTTTAGTTGATTGGGTTTTAAAATTTATTATTTACACGTCACTTTTACTGTTAAAATTGCACTTTCCACTTTATTTGTATATTTTTTATTTATTTTTTATTTTATTTATTTTTTTATTTTATTTATTTATTTATATTTTTGATACCGACAAAATTTTGCATTTCTAACTTTTGTTAAAAACTATTGTTAAAAATTATCAATTCGTTCACTTTGTTTTAAACAGTTTCCACTTGTTTTTCGAGTATTCTTCTTTAATTTTTGTTTTTTTTTTTAATTAATTTTTGCTTTCAATATGCTTGCCGCAACCGATATTCTTTGCCTTTTGCACTGTCTCGCCGTTAACGCTGTTCGAATTTGACTGAAAAGTGAGAGTTGGAAATTTGAAAAATTATTAATAAATTATTTTGATAAAAATCTCTGCACTTTATTTAATGTTTTTCCCCCTTTTTGTACTCTTTACATGGCTTTCAACGGCTGAGCGAGCGATTGAGCGTTTGGCATGCGTCCGCACTTCCGGCGGCTTTGCGCTAACGCTTCTGCGCTACGATAATCGCGCGTGAATATGAATGTGTTTTCACTTTCAGATCAAATGCAATATTTATATAATTATTTTAGCAATTTTTTCAAAAAAAAAATTAATTTAAAATTTTATTTAATTTTTTTTATTAATTACTGAGTTTTCGAAAACTTTTCAAAAACGTTTTAGCGTCGGCTAAGTAATGAGAAAATTTTTATATTTATTAACTTAATGTATGACAACGACGAGCTTTTGCTTTGCTGCAAACACGAAAAATCTGGTAAGAATTTTTTTTGTTTTCGAAAAGGCGAGTACAAACAGCGCACATTGAAACACACAAACAAACAAAAATTCGCTTTTAATACATTCGGTATACACAGTGGCAGCCGAGATACGCACTACACGCCGGTCGCTTGCAAACTGGAAAATACACATACTCGCCGAAGCGGCGCAACCCCCCAAAAACCAGTCTTATACAGAGCTCGCTAACGGAGCGAAGTGACAAGGCGGCGGGCAGGGAGAGTAGAGCGTAATATTTAATAGCGTGTAGCTATCAGATAGCGAGCGAGCAATCGAATTGGATAGCATTGCGCAGCGTACACACAAACACACACACACACACACCACTGCCAGAAAGACGAGCGCGTCAGCTGAGCTCTGCATACAACTACTTGCAACCAGCGTGTAACTGACTGACTATGTGGCAAGTAGCGAGTTGCTCGCAGCGCAGTCTGAGCATAAGCAGCGCGCAGTTGCTAGAGAGTCCATGTCGTATATTGAATTTGCTAACAGAAACCGGTTGCATGTATGGGTGTATCTGTGTATTGGTCTTCTTACTCGCTGAATTCCAATAAGAAACAGCGCGCGTCGTCAGTTTCCACACGGAGAGCGTTGACGCTGGCGTTCGGCAGCCGACGGCCGACGTCCGACGTCTCAGTAAGCCAACAGACAGACGACAGTTAGGTAGAAAAAAGCGTTAGAGCTAACAAGACTGGTGACACCAACTGTAGAAGAGTCAAACCAAAGCAGAACGAGTATAAAAAGAAGAAGAGCCAACTGACTGACAAGGCGAGTAGAAGAAAGAAAAAAAAAAGTTGTGGCAACAGCGACGGCAGCAAAGAATAAATTTCGCACTTTCTGGCGACAACGGCGCATAGCTTTTTCCAAACGTACTTAAAGTAGTTGTGTGCATGTGTTTGTATGTGTGCCTCTGGGCATATCTCTTCATATACCTCGACAGCCGTCCGTTCACAGCTACGGCTGAAGTAGCTCTACTACACATACTACATACCCGAATGTTGGCCCACGGTTGGGTGGCGTATGCAGCGAAGCCTGTTCGTAGGTTGTTGGTAGGTAGGTGGTGCTGAGTTTGCTTTGTTTTGTTTTGCTTTGCTTTGGTTTTTGTTTGTTTTTTTTTTGTGTTAGTGTAGAGGTGCTGGTTTTGTCGCATTCGCAAGCGCTTTGCTGGCTAGCTGACTGGTTGGCTTCGTGTTGGCCATTCGCATGCATGAGAGAGTGTTTGTTGTATTGATATTGAATGTGTGTTAAGTGAGAGCTAACAGTGGGTCGTGAGGCTCTTATTCGCGGGCAGAAGATGAAGTTTGCATGTTGGAGACGAGAAGTCTTTTGCGACTCCTACAGAGAAAGTACCACTTTTTGAAGAAATTAAATAAAAATTTGCCACGCGCAGCTGCATCATGGAAGTCCATATCACTGCTAAATATCAGAACATCGAAATGCTGGACCAATCTGTCTAACTTAGAACCAGCACTAACGCTAATAGTAAAGTCAGCTTTAAAATCCAAGGTAACGTCACTCTTATCAGCAGCTTCAACGCGGAAAACCAATTAGAAAGTCAAGCCTCTGCATGACGCATTATGGCCAAATATTACAAATCATTACCCTCATACACCGTGAAGCCGAAAGCTGTACGTTGGCAACTAGGAGTTGCCAAGAGATAACGCCGCTAAGCAAGATTTCAACGTAGAAACCCGAGTGTCTGAGCGTGGGAAAGATTTCATTCCGCTGGAAAGACGAAGAGTAGAGGAAACTGGCTTCAATTATGGTCTATAGCCAGTATAAAACAGAAAAGAAAATATGTTACTATAACAAAGCTAACTCGACTATAACCCAACCCAGGCAAATGGAAAAAAGCAGAGAATTGTCTAGAAAAAAACTTATTTTTTCTTTCAAAATTATTTTTACGAACTAAATAAATTTGTGTTCTACGTAGCGAAATGTCTTTCTAAAGTATGTGGACACCATGATACATAAAATCGATCTATCATCCTTTTGTTAAACCTATGTGGGTACCCATTTGTATGAAAAATATAAAGACAACTATATATGCAGTAGAGGTGTGGCCCCCTCAGACTTAGATACGTAGCTATATATATTTGTATTCCAATAGTCCTAAGTGTTTCCAAAAGTCGGATTTTAGTTTTTCGGTCATTATTCACTTATAAATCATCCACTTTACGCTTCGAAAAAGAATTCCAAGTCCTAACTTCTTTCCGTATGCATACTTTTCCTATAAAATTGTTGTCTTTTTGGAAGCAATTCAAATAGATTTGCTTTTTTGGACCCATACAACTTTTCAACTCTTTATAGAAATCTTTACTCTGAAGCTCTCACAAAAGCATTATTGGATCAACTGGCCCAAACTGGAGGGATCAGGTTATCAGTTGATCTATTTTCAGTTATTTTTTATTTTTTTCTTTAATATTTTTTTTTAATTAAAAAATAAATTTTTTATATAAAAAATAAATTTTTTTTAATTCAAAAATAAATTTTTTTAATTAAATAGTTTTTTTTATTTAACTATATTAGAATTTTTTAGTTTTGTTAAAAATGTTTATTGAAAAATAAGAATAAATTTTCTTAATTTTTTCTTAAAAATTTGTTATTTTTAAAATAAAGTGATCATTACTTTCTTAATTTACAAAAAAAAAAGTTTTTTAATTAAAAAAATAGTAATTAAATCTTTTTTTAATTTTATTAAAAAGTTTTTATTTTCTTAAGAAGATTTAATTTTAATATAAAATAAGAACAATTTTATTTAAAAATAATATTTTTTTTCATCCAAAAAAATCATAATACTATTTTTTAATAAAAGAAAATATTATTTTAAATATTTATTATTACAATTTTTTGTAAATTTTATTGAAAAAATTTAATTTTACTAAAAAAAATGAATTTAAATAAATAATAAAAACAATTTAATTTAAAAATCAATTGTTGTAATTATATGAAAACATTATTTTTAATTTAAAAAAAGTCATAAATAAATATACATAATTTTTGTATATAAATAAAATATTCCATTTTTTTATTTAAGAATATTATTATATAATATTCCATTTTTTTTTATTTAAGAATATGTTTTTTTTATTTTGTTTAAATTTTTTTAAAGTTCCTACAAAAGAGCGCCACTGTGCGCGACAACTTAGTGTGAAAGATACCAAAAGCAAACGAAACAAACACATATTTACACATCCGCACACTTACGCACACACTTAAGTAGTGTTTGGCGACCAAGGCGAGTTATCTCTCAAGCCGCCTGCATGTGTGTGTGTATGTGTGACAGTGTTGACTGCGGCTGAGTATGAAGACTACAACAACTAGAACGACAACGACGACGACACTGTTGGTGTTGAGGACGACCACTACACACATACACATAAACACACTTCCACACACACACACACACAACGCCAAGTGTCTAATGGATACGACATTTGGGGCCGTGTTAAGAGTACAATTTCGGCGCCGTCGCGTAAAGATGGCGCGTGATGGAGTGTGATAAAAAGAGACAACGCTATGGTGTTAAGTGCAGGTGACAAAAATAAAATACAGCAGCAGCTGCAACAACAACAACACACACGCATACACAAACTAGCAAAGGTAAATAACAAGCAAGCAGAGACAACAAACAACAACAAAAAAAACGAAACCTGACTTGCTCGCTACGGCTGGCCAAAATAAGAGGCAGAAAGGAAAAGAAGAACACACATGCATACATATATAGCAGGGATAAGGCAGAAAAAGAAGACGTAGGAAGGTACTATATGCGCGTGTTTGTACACTTCCTTGCCTCGTTGCTCCTGTTGTTGTTGTTGGTGCAAAAATTATATTGTATTTGATGATGGCGTTGAAAAAGAGCAAGCAGGTATATATGTCGGGGCAAGCAAATGGCAGGAAGGAAGGAAGAAAGGGCATGTATGTAGGTGTGTATGTACATACATATGTGAAAGGCCTCTCGGTCGCTTGGACGTTTGAACGGTTGGTCAAGCGATGTGTGCGTATGCATATGTGTATGTACATTTGTATGTACATAAGTGTTGAAGGGGTGCGGAAGTGGCAAAGCAAAGGAGGTGTTTACTTTCGCAGGCACCTACATACTTATTTACATATATACAAACATAGATACATCTGTACATATTAAAGAAACGCTGTTCTCTAGCAAGATGGACGATGCCAGTGTCGTCCGTCGTCCGTCGTCCGTCGTCCGTCGTCCACCATCCACCGTCGAGCGCTGAAATGAGTGAATGTCCGCGATATGTGGCGTAGATAAAATAAATTAAATACAATAATAAGGTGATGATAATGAAGTCACAGCCGAGGGAAGCTAACGAATTAGTCGCAAGTGAGTGTGAGAGTGTGTGCGTTTGTTTGTGTGCGTATGAGTGTGGCATGTGTGAATGCTGGGTGCTAATGATGGAGATTTTTGAAGCGCAGATACTCGTACATACCTACTTACTTAGGTACCTACTTGGTGTTAAGAATTTTAAGAGATTTTGCTGATTTCATTTGTAGGTTATTAACTGAAGTGCAAAAAAAAA